GTGACTAAAATTGATTGTCATTGACTCAGGACACTTTTTCAAGTTTTTCGAAGTGGTCTGTACCGAACCTAAAATGGTTCAGAGAATTGCAACGAATTCGAAACCTTTTTAGGTTCCGTACGATGTACGAAACCCTTTTTTCGTTCAAAGTACCTTTTTTGGTTCGGTATGGTACCATTTTTTTTTCAGTGTATCCTACGTTAGGTTTTCAGCCTTTGGGCAAACTACTAATGGAAAACTAAATTAAGAGATTGTCATCTGAAATTTCGCTCATGGATAGAAAAACGAATGAATTCTTCTTGAGAAATCGAGTGTCTAAAACAGTTCGATTCTATGACTTATTTTGTTATATATATGCGCTATCTCAAGAAGAATATATTCATTTGCACTCAACATTTTTAGGATGTTTTACTCGCTGCACGAGCTGTTTACGGGTAAAATTTCAGATGAAAACCTTGTAATTGAGTTTTCCATGAAAAGTTTGGATGTGGGTGTGGGTGTTGTTCTCATATTACTCTATACCGACACCCACACCGTTACCTTGGTGTATTTTTCTCTGGATTTTTGAAGTTGCGCAATCTATCTGTTGTTTATTGCATAGGTTTTCAGTAGTATGAATCGTCCTACAATGGTTCACGAGAATGTTTTGGTAGGATTGCGTGTCATATGGCTTATCAAGACGAAGTTTCTTCTATATAATTGTTGGTACAAGTTGGTAGATATAAAAATTGAGTTTGGTACGTATATGCTTCTTTATTTCATAGTTTTTGTTGACTTGTCATGTAATTCGCTTTGCTTCTCTGTTATTTCATACTTTGTTCGCTTTGATTATTATGGAAAATATGTAGAGAATAAATTGTAATCGTCTTGTTTGATGTTGTTGATTGAATGTTTATATGAGAATCCGAAGTATTTCTTCATCAGAAGTCAACGTTACAGCTCGCTTATTGAAATGATAGGACGTACTCAATGTTGAATATTTTATGCCTAAATCATTGATTGTCTGATATTGTGTATTTTGGTGTATGTTCTTTTTAATGGCATATTACTATATTGACTAATATTCTTCAAAACTTGATGATACATGGTATTGTCTTTTGTCCTATCACCTTATTGAATAATTGAGCTGAGTAGATTCGAGGAAATTGCAATATTAAATGTGTTTTATAATGTCGTATGTGGGTGTTTTATAGTTGTTTTGTATTTGAATAGTGTGACCCAGCATGTATTTAGTCAGGGACTTCACTGGATGCATACAGTTTTGTGATGGAAGTTGTCTGGGATCGGTTTTTTAAATAAATATAATGAAAAAAATTAACATCATTTTAAATTGATACAGAAACATTGCATAATTTTTGAAGGTAGTTTGAGTTTTTCGAGCTTTTATTGATTATACAATTCTAATATTGTGTTGAGATATATGTCGGTTTTACTGCAGATCTTTTCATTGTGTTAATGTATTATCTGAAATAGAAACAAATCATATCATATTGGCGTTAAATACGATTTAATAGAGAACAATGAAACTTCATCCAATTCGAGTGAATTTCGAAGCTTAAGGAAGCTTGCTGAAAAATTGTTCCATACAGAATTTTACGAAGACTCAGAAAGTAGAACAAATACTTGAACATTACGAAGTTTCTTTTACAAAAAAATGAGTTGCACACTACCATTCTGTTTGCCCAAAAACTAGTTGTTGGTCAAAGTTTTGTACTACATCCAACATAATGTCATCAAATCTGCGCATAGGATATGCGTGTGGGTGAAGTGGGTGTGCCTAAATAGATAATCTACACCCACATCCACATCCAAAATAATCTTTATTAAACAAGGTGCTTCTAGCTATATCAGAAGGAACTTGTTGTTGCGCTGACCATTTATATAAGGCAAATCTTAGTGATGAAAGTCTATGATAAGTAAATGGTTCTATCTCTGATCGTCTTGTTCTTACCTCTAACGAAGTTCAAGGTCTCATCGAAGATTTTCGTTCTACTATTCAATCTTCAAGAATGTTTGATTTTGATGATGCGACCTGTCATCCGGCTGAATATTACTTTAATATTACCGGTTTAAAAGAACGTACTTAATTCAATTAATTTTGTAGTTTTCGTTTGTTTTGATCAATGAAAATTGAGATGTTGGTTTCAAAGAGAAATCACCATAAAGAACATTGTTATCCATTTGCCTGATAGCTTATGAAAATTATTCTTTTTACTTTTCAAAATAAAAACAATTCAGGCGTTTCACAAGCATATAAAAATTTACCGATCAATGTATTTATTTCTTTTAAACTAGAAAAATTTGAAATGTTTTTTGCTCCTTGGTTTAATATATGAGTTCTCTTCGGGTGCATTGCCATTTAGCAACATGTTTAAATTTATCATATGCAGAGGGAAAAAGAAATTATAAGAGAAAAATATGCCTTATTTAAGTGATACAGATAAAGAATGTGTAAAGTATGACTGCATATGTTTGGTGGTGTTTAAAGATTATTACTTTTACACTTTTGCCTATTTTATAGCTGAATGCGAAGACTTTCTTTAACATCTAAGATCAATGTTACATTATCATGTACGATCCGTAAGAGTGGCATTAGCCGTATCTTTGACCGAAATGTACTTCCGAGTGAAAAATATTTCTAAAAATAACGCAAGATAACGCATTCATAAAAATGTAGAGACTTGTCTTTTACATGAAGAATGTGTTCTACAGCTTAGCGAACGTTTTCACAAACAAAAAGAAAAGTTCTGAGTCTAAAGGAACTCATTCTTTACTGTTTCACACTAGTACGGAATGCTTTCTTCTCAGTTCAAAAATAGTTCTCTATTTGGATAGAAAGCGTTCTGAACCGTTCCATAAGCCGATAGAACGTGTCTCTGCCAATTCTATTTCGAAACAGTCAAGATAGAATTCCATCGAAATGAGACCGTTTTTTTAACATTCTTGAGAAACACCTGAGAATGGATTCTTTTGACTAATGAACGCTTTCATCTGAATTTAACGTCATTTTTGATTCAAAAATGGCAGCTCTGAAGTACGACACCCTGAAACTGGTGCCAACAATGGTGGAACCTTCAATTAGTCATACTTTACAACTGGCAGTCCTGGTTCAAAAAAGTTGTTTTTTAGTAACAGTTTGAACTACGAAAAATTAGAGCACGCCATTGAATAGAGCTCCTCGAGTTGCACTAGAATCGATCTTTCAAAAAATTATGTCTGAACTTCTCTTCGAGAACTCTAATAGTGAATCGAAATTCAGACAATAACGACCAAGATTGCGATCCAAAAAAGTTAACTTTTTTTTCAGAAAAGAAAATGTTCCAAAAAAAGCTGGAACAGTTAAGAACGCATTCTTAAAAACATGGAATGTGTTCTTAATTATTCCATTTTGGAACACTTTCCACTTTTGTTGGAACGTCTTCTTTTCTTAGAAAAAGGGTTTTTATTTTTACGGAACGCGTCCTTTCCCCTTCTTTGAAGCAAATATTTTCCACTGGGTTAAACATTATTCCTGATTAGTATGACGAAAAATTTTATCAAATCCTATAATCAATTCTTCGTTGATTAAGCAGAATTTATTTATTCGACGAAACGGGATCTAATCAATAAAAGAGCTTTCTCATTGAGTGTTGAGAACTTTTAAGGTGAATTTATATCGAGAGAGAATATTTAGATGATAAGAACAATCTAAATGAACTAGAAGAGAAAGATTTATCGATTTATTCTCATTGAATTATTTTTATATTAATAATGTTTTCTTTATTCATATATCATTCAAGTATTGTTATAAATCGATTTAAGAATCTTCATGTTATATATTATTTTCATCATAAAATTATTTTAGAATCGAATCAAATTTATTTTTATGCAAAAAAAAAGAATCAAATATTTAATTATAATTATATATAAACAAGAAAATACTTTTTTTTCATAATTTTTATTTAATATTAAGCATCAAGAATGAAGAATGTCATATCAAGTAATTGAAGATGATTATCAGAAACGAATTTTTCCAATGGAAATTTTCGACGTTGAGGAATGTTATCGAATTTATTCTCTTGTTTAACTTTTTCAATTGATTGATAAAGTAAATAAATATATCTATGTTTTCCACTTCCAGCTCTTGGTCCTGGTCCCATATATTCACCTGAAAAACAATTACATTTTATCGAATATATTTATTCCAAATTCATTTTTTATTTCATATTTTTAAACGAGAGATCAAATTATAAGTTTATTTTAAATAAGAAATAAAATTCAAGATATTTTATATATAAATAATCTCAATAAAATATTTGAATACTGACAAAGATTTTAAATATTTCTTATAAAGTATAATTTTATTGGAAAATATTTTCAATAAGTATGAATGTGTGAATACTCGTTTAAATAAATATAAGATAAATGTCTCACTCAATTGATTTATTTTCTATTGAAAATTTTCGAAAGAATTTAATAAAATACTAACAAATAGTTTCTCCATCGATAGCATTAATTTCTTTAAAATTAGATAATATCCAATGAATAAATGGACCAGTTATTGGTTTATCAGAAGACGGAGCATCTGGATCAATCATTATCTTATTTTGAAAACAAAAAAAAACAAAATAAATATTTAAAATAAATAATTAAAAATAAAAAACAAACCAATGTTTTATATGTATTATCTTGAAGTTTTTTATTTATTTTTATATTCGGTTTTTGTTGAGTTTGTTCTTTTGTTAAATTATTATTACCATTGACTAATTCGTTTTCATAAATTATTTCAATTAGATTATTCTTATTTTTTACATCGTTCATTTTATTTAACAAATAGTCAACATCAGAACTTATTTCATCACTCATTTTATTATCCTAAAGAAAAAAAAACAAAAACAAATTCGAATTTTTAAAGATAGATAGATAGATAGATACTTTTGTTTGTTTACCTTCTTTGATAATTAATCAATAAAAACTAAAAAAAAGAACATAATTAGTAAGATTTATTTATATCAAGTTAATAGCAAACAAAACCAACAAAAAACTTCAAATTTGTTCTTTGTTGTGAAAAAATAATTGTAATCAATGCAAACAACGTAAATATACTTTTATTATATGATACTATAGAAAATTTATCTTACCTTTTTTCTTATCATTTTTATCATATTTAACATTATTCTTATTTAACAATTATTTTAAACTATTCAACAAATAATATGAACATATTATAGATATGATTTTGTTTATTTCATATTTTTATCCTAAATAAATCAATAAGAAAATTTTTATTTTATTCTTGATAACTATTATATATATAGTTATGTCACAGTTGACATGGGAATTTAGTTGAGATTGGAATGCATATAACATGAGTCATAAGATAATTAATGCGTATTTTTTTGTTGTGCTTATGTTTTGAAAATCTAGCGATTTTAATTTATTGGTCGAGAGTTTGCGATTTGTTTTACATTATTTTATAAAATTTAAAATAAAATATTTATATTAGGAATATTTTAATTTTTAAGAAAAAAGCTTGTTAGCGCAGCCCCCTTGAGGTTGAAATGTGGAACTCACATCTCTCCTTTGGTTTCATTATACTAATGACAAAATACCCAATATTTAAAATCTCCAAAAGATAATAGTTCTTTTCTAAAGATAATCGACTATTAGAAAATGCTATATTTTTATCTCTCAATTTCGAACAGAATATTTTTTTTCACGAAGTTGCCAAGGTCTGTAATGGTGGGTATGTCTGGAATGTTCTCTTTCTCCGTTACTATGTGTCTGTAATGGGGTGGAGAGGGGGAGCCGTCAACCTCGAACTGAAAACTTACACTCACTATTTTCTTCGAAAACATACGTGAGTTCCACAAAATATAGGTTAAGAAATAGTAGAATTTTTTTGAATTTTATTTGTCTCTAAATAATTAATCTATTGACGTTAGTTACTATGAAACATGAAATCAAGAAACATATTCTATGT